TTTTTGTAAAACATAATATTTGTGTTATTTATTTTTATCTGATTTTTACACTTTCTGTTCATTGTATTTATTTCTTTTTGTGGCTTTCTTTTCCTGCAGCCTCAGCTGAAATTGTCGGATGAGCAGTTTTCACCACAACTTGTTGATTTTGTAAATAAATGGTAAGTCTTTTCATGTGACTTCCTGGGGAATCGCTTTGTTGTCTTGTGCTTCTCTGCTAGGCCTAACTCACTGAGCTTGTCTGATGTTGTCAGAATTATATTGACCCTCATCTGATGATAGGGATAGGGTTTGGCTCAGGTGTGGAGATATTTTTTTGCTTTAAATTTTGTGTTGGGAAGTTTCTGTTACTATTGTCAGTGCCAAATTTAGTAGGTACCAGAAAATAAATTTTCAAAGTAACTGTATGATAAATTTTGCTATCCCATGTGATAGGTTAAATGTCTCCTGAGAATTTTGGTTTCGTCCTTTTACCTCTCCGTCATTTTTTATGAAAGTGGCAGCAGTTTTGATATATATCAAAATACTGTGCTAATAGGCTGTAACCTCATTTTAGAAAGATGTTAAAGCAGTATCAAATGCACACTAAATATTCACACATTGAATCACAACAACATAGCTATTGGGTCTAATTTTTATTTCAAGACTGAGGTGATTGCAAATCAGGATTTTATTTGCTGAAAAGTGCAGATTCGTTTAATATCTACAGAAATTAGCACTTGATGTATCATTCATAGTTCTATAATTTTCCACCAATAAAAAGAGGTTATATTTAAGCATACAAATAAACTGTGCACGCTTAGGGTGTCAAATTTTGAACTGACTGATCTCATGTTCAGATAGTTAGGGGGCATCGCTTTCCACAGTGATTTACGAGCTTGAAATGCACGCTCAATCAGACAACACACCCCAATGTTACAAGGAAAAACTGAACTTTCTCAGGGTGTGCAGCATTTTGTGTTATATTGCCGCAGAACACAGATATAGCCATCTGAATTGCAATGATTTGAACTAAACAACTTGCTTAGAAGGTCATGATATGGCTTATTACACTACCTACATTTGTCATTTAGTAAAAAAAAAAAAACAACAACCCTAAAATCCCCATCATTTTTCTTAAGTCTGTCTTGAGAAAATCTCACAACGGTTGTATTTGAAGCCTCAGTGCAAGAAATATACATTGGACATTTTCCGACTCCACTATCTTTCCATCTTTTTTTCTCTGCCGTATATTCTTGAGCTGAAGTTTGTTTTTTGTTTTTTCTATTATATTTCAGTTTGAACAAGATGCCAGCATTGAGGTTGTCCGGACAGCATCTGCTAGTGAGTTTTGGTTGTTTCTTTTACAGTTATCTGTGCCTGTACCCCATCCTTCCCTCCCCCCCCCCCACACACACGCACATATACCCTCCCCTGCCTCTTTAATGATCTCATTTGTGCCCATGAAGGTGGGTGAGTGGTAGGCGAATGCTCTGGTGTGGTTTGCGCTTTCTTTCCCATCAAACATCCATCATCCTGACCTTATCTGAACTCTTTCTTTTCTTTGAATGTTACTCTCTTGTAACACCTCTAATCTTTAGCACCTGAATGACCTAATTGTGTTGCAAGTTCCGTAAAACTCATATAAGAATTAAAACTAAAATGGAAGTATAGTATAAAGTTTGAAACAGTTGTACCTGGAAAGAACAAGAAAGTCGGAAGTCTGTGGGTGGTTGGCGGGTGCTCTGGTGTGGTTTGCTTCTTATTTCCTATTAAACATCTATCGTCTTTATCTCCCCCTCCTTCTTTTTTGTGTTTGTTACTCTCTTGTAGCACTTCTAATCTTCGGCACTTATATGACCTTATTGTGTTGCAAGTCTGAAGTCTTCATTATTTTCCCTGTGACTTATGCCATTTTTTTCCCTACTATGAACTTCATTCACTTTTGTTGCAATCAACGAATAGGTGTTGTTGTTGTTGTTGTTAGCGATCCAGTAGAATCTGAGCGTTAACTCTTCTGCCTGATGCCATTCTGTACAAATTAAGAGGTGTAAAACTCACACGTACATGAACGTTCCTCAACTTGTCCTCTGCAGAGTCACCCGTTCCTACAGAGCCAGCCAGGCTTTGACCCGTCGGTCATCTCACAGATGGTGATGAGCAGACAGCGGCCAGCCCACGAGACCATGGACTCCTAGCCCAGTGTTATATGGTGATAGAGTACCAGCATACAGCCTTCCCCTGTGTTACCCCGTTGAGTTTTACATTTACACCATCTCCTTTCCATCCTCCCCCCTCC